CTGCAGCTGCCTGCACGCCTCACTGAGCAGGTGCAAGTTCCCCTTGGGCTGCGGGCGGGCCACGCTGGGAGCAGTGAGAAGACCGGGTCTGGGGCTCACAGATTTGGAGGCTCTGAGGAGGCGAGGGCGTGGGGCTGGGGTCCCAGGTCCCTGGTGGGGTGGGATTGAAGCACTTTTCTGGGAAGATGTGGGCTCTTGGGAGGCTGTGAGGGAGAAGGGAGGAGAGGATTCTCCAGGGAAAAGCAGCACAATAACCTCTCATCTTCCAATCCCCACCTGCTAGGGCCCTTCTTCCAGGAAGCCCTCTCTGCACACTCATCCCACCTCCACCTCCACCCCCAGCCCAGGCACTCCTCTGGCTCCACCTCGCCTACTCCTTTTTAAACACCACCCTGTCCACCCTCTGTGTTTCCTTCTAGTCGGTAGCCTGGATTGCTGCTGGGACAGGCGCCTGCCTACACACAGTATGTAGCTTTACCTGCCTGGCACGTAGGTGCTCAGGAAGTGCTGGTTATTTCCAGCCTGGCAGCACGGCTGGGTGACCTTGTGTACGTTACTTAACCTCTCTGGGCACCCCGCCCCCAGCTCAGAAATAAAAACATGGGCCTGTGAGCCTCCGGCAGAGGTGGTCTTGGGCTGTGTGGGTGTTGACTGGACCTGTTCTGCATCCTGTCCTTCTCATCGCCCCAGAATCTTCTGGAATCCAGGATCAGGGTGGGCAAGAGCTTTGCCTCTAGTGCACCTGGACCGAGTCAAGCTTCTGACGTGTCTTCACGCTGTGACTTCAGAGGGTATCCTCTTGCCCACAAGGTCTTGCCTGTAAAACAAGAGCTCTCCTCCTCTTCCCTACCTTGCCCCTGGCCCAGGCTTGAGGGAGGCGAGTGTGGGGAGTAGAATGCGGTTCAGACCCCACCTGACTGGTGTGGGTGGTGCCAGGGCCCCCAAGGAGCGCCCCACCATGGACGGAGGGGAGAGGGCTGAGGCGGACACAACACCCCAGTCGGTCCTGGAGTGGGAGGGGCTGTCACTCCCAGATAGGATTTGAGAGCTAAGGTACCAGCCAGATGTGGAGCTGGAGGAAGACAGAGGGAACAGCAGGAGCAAAGGTCCTGGGGTGGGGCTGCTTTTGTTCAGACTGCACAGAGGGGGCAGAGCTGGACTGCATGGGCAGGCAGGGCTATGGGGCGGGGCTGGATTGATTGAGGGTCCTGGGCAGTCAGGGGAGTTTTGGGGGCTGGAGAAGCAGGTAAAGAGTTTCTATTAAAAAACAAGTCCTAGCTGGTTTGGCTCAGTGGATAGAGCGTCAAGTCTGCAAGGTTCCAGGTTCATTTCTGGTCAAGGGCGCACGCCTGGGTTGCAGGCTTGATTCCAGGGGGAGGGGTGTGTGTGTGTATGTGTGTGTGTGCAGAAGGCAACCAGTGATTCTCATCATTGATGTTTCTATCTCTCCCTCTCCCTTCCTCTCTGAAATCCATAAAAATATATTTGAAACAAGACCCCGTGTGTTGGGGTTAACCTCCTGAAGTCACACTCTGCCCCTGGAAGAGAACGATGGAGCAAATGGAGGGTGGATGCGGGAGGCGGGTTTTTCACTGGAGACATCTACACGAACTCACGTTTATATAGATACCGGCAGTTACATATGGAAATATTTACAGATATGTGTACATACACGGGTCAGTATACACACATATATGTCCTTGCTCTGTCAGCTGAGAGGGCCTAGAAGCAGTGAGATCTCAGGAGCAGTGAGACGGTGCTGCCCAGGCTTGGCTCTAACAGCAATCTCCAGGGAGTCACCAAGGCTGCTCCCGGAGAAAAGGCTGACTCTCCGCCTGGGGCGGGAAACAGATGAGCTTGGCGCATCCTGTAGTGACAGGGTGAGGAAGGGCAGAGAGAAAAATACCAAGGATACATGCGACAGGGAGGTGAGCGCCAGCCGAACAAGCTCCCGTGGCCAAAGCTGGGACGGTTTGAGCCAGAAAATCAGTAAAGTTGCATTAGGTTATAACCCAGAGTGTAAGATAAATACCCGCGAGTCCATGGATACACTGCTTGAATAATTGAAGAGATACTAAAGGGGGAGGCGAGATGTTTCCCAAGCAGAGGAACCCCAAACGATGTATGCGGATGCCCTGCCCTCCAGGGGCAGCAGGCCTCCGCACCCTTAGGTGTGGGCTGGAATAATTACTTCCTCCCAGAGCATGCAGCGCCTACCAGGCAGGAGAGAGAAGCTTTGCAGAGGAGACACCTCCCAGGCCCCGCCTCCACGAGGTGGTTAGGGTCAGCATCACAGTGAAGTCACGTTGATGGCATGTGCCCTGGTCTCCATGTGATGAGACAAGCACTTCCTCTCTTCAAACCCATCACCCCAGTCCAGCCATGAAAAACCACAAATCCCAATGGTGGCAATCATATAGTAATACATATAAATATCAAATCAACATGTACACCTTAAATTTGCACACTATTATATGTCAAGTATATATCAATATATATTTTAATATGTTTTTATTGATTTTAGAGAGGGAGGAAAGGAGGGGGGGAGAGAGAAACATCAATGTAAGAGCAACATCCTTCTTACCAATGTAAGAGAACAATTACCTCTTGTATGCACCCTGACCAGAGGTCAAACCCACAGCCTGGACATGTGCCCTAACTGGGAATTGAACCAGCAGTTGGTACATGGGATGATGCTCAACCAACTGAACCACACCAGCCAGGGCCAATCCTATATAATAAAATCCTGATATGCAAATCGACCAAACAGCAGAATGACCAGCCAATATGATGCACACTGACCTCCAGGGGGCAAACACTCAGTGCAGGAGCTGTCCCCTGGTGGTCAGTGCACTCCCACAGGAGGAGAGTCGCTCAGCCAGAAGCCGGGCTCACAGCTGGCGAGTGCAGTGGTGGTGGTGGGAGCCTCACCCACCTCAGCAGCAGCGCTAAGGAGCAGCAAGCAGGTGAGTGGTAAGGAGCGAGGGGTCCCTGACTGTGAGAGGGGGGTCGGGCCTAAGCCAGCAGTCAGACTTCCCCAAGGGGTCCCAGGATGTGAGAGGGTGCAGGCCAGGCTGAGGGACCCCCCCCCAATGCACAAATTTCATGCATATATATATGCATGAAATATATATTTTTATATATATTTAATAAAAAATAAAATAAAAAATATATATAAATATATATATTTTATATATTTTTTCTTTCCCCCCATTAATTTTTAGAGAGTGGGAAGGAGGAAGGGAGATGGAGAGAGAGAGAGAGAGAGAGAGAGAGAGAGAGAGAGAGAGAGAGAGAAACTTCAATGTGAGAGACATTAATTTGGTTGCCTCCCGCACACGCCCTCTTATGTTTCCTGGGATTAAACTTGCAGTCCAGGTACTAAACATGAAACCCAGACACATGCCCTTGGCCAGGAATCAAGCCTGTGACCCTTCAATTTTTGGACCTATGCGCTAACCACGGAGAACACCAGCCAGGACCCACTATATATGTTTTAAAATCAAAACTCCTGGCCAGTTCTCAAAACTGTAAAGATCATCAAAGCCAAGAAAGTCTGAGACACTGTCTCAGCCCAGAGGAGCCTCAGGAGACGTGGCAACTAAACGTCACGTAGGATCCTGGGACGCAGAAGGACATCAGTGAGAACAGGGGATCGGGATGAGCCATTGGCTTCAGTTAACATCTCAGCATTGGCTCAGTGAGCGTAGCAAAGGTACTAAATTAATGTCAGATGCTAATGGTAGAGGGACCAGGTGTGGGATACACAGGAACTTTCTATACCATCTTCACAATAATACCGTAAATTGAAAACTGCTCAAAACTAAACATGTAATTAAAAAAAAAAAAAAGATAGTTGCTATGGGGAACAGAGGTTGTCTGAGGCAGGGGTGGAGGCAACAAGAGGCCCACGTAGAAACGGTCACCCTAACCGGTTTGGCTCAGTGGATAGAGATGGTCTATGGACTGAAAGGTCCCAGGTTCGATTCCGGTCAAGGGCATGTACCTTGGTTGGGGGCACATCCCCAGTAGGGAGTGTGCAGGAGGCAGCTGATGGATGTTTCTCTCTCATCGATGTTTCTAACTCTCTCTCCTTCTCCCTTCCTCTGTAAAATATCAATAAAATATATTTTAAAAAAGAAAGAAAGAAAGAAAGAAAGAAAGAAAGAAAGAAAGAAAGAAAGAAAGAAAGAAAGAAAGAAAGAAAGAAAGAAACAGAGGCAGCATCCAGCCTGGAGAATACTGGGCCTGGACCAGGACCACTTCGGGGTACAGGAAAAGGGGCAAATCCAGTGTTTCAGAGACACAGGCCGGCGGGACCAATATGGATGACGAAGGGAGAAGACTCTCAGGGACTCCCAGGCCCCTGGGGCTGGTGGAGGACCAGGCTGGATTGGTACCAGGTTGTGGTGAGGCGGCGGGGTGGGGCGGATGCCCATCCATGAGCATCCTACCCAGACCAGTAGGGTATTGGAGTGGAGGGCTGAGTGGGGCACAGGAGGCACTCAGTCTCATTTTCGGAGGGCAGGAGCCTTTCAGATCTGTGACATGATGACAGCATTCTTGGGGATAGTTTTCCCCACCCCTGGGGCCCATCCAGGGCCATCCCTCCTCATGAGGATCAACAATGCCCCCCTCACAGGCTGGTGGGGGGCGTCACATGAGCCCTGCTCAGTGCCTGGCACACAGTGGGCGCTCAAGCAAATGGGTCGTCCCTTCCCCCTCCCACCGGGTCTCGGATGCAGCGACGACGACGCCTGTGGCTTTAAATTATGCAGATGACCTGCAGGTGGAGGGAGGTGGGAGGGAGTAAGAGGAGCCGGACTCATCCAATCAGCGCGCTGGCTGGCCGGGTTGGGTGCCCACATGGCCCAATGAGAGCCCGCTCTGCCTCCGGGCGCTGCCGCGGCCTCGGGGTGCTCTCCTGGCCACGCCCCGGGGGCGGAGCCACCCGCGACCCGGCTGCTGCGGCGCGGAGGGAGGGGCGGGGCGGCTCGGGTGTCAGAGACGGAGCCGCAGGTGGCGGCGGGCGCGAGGCTCAGCCCGAGCTCGGAGGGGAGGTGAGTGGATTCCCACCGATGCCCCGGCCCGTGCGGCCCCGGAGTGCTCGCATCGCGCCCCGCAGTGCTGGGGGCCACGCGGGAACCGGGTGGGGGCAAAGGTGCAGCGGGACGTGGAGGGATGGCGAACAGGGATGGGGGGGTGGGGGCTGCAGCGGGGGGCGCCCCTGCCTCCCCCAGGGGTTAATCAGGGGTCCGCGGAGGGAGGCATAGACCCCTATCCTAATGCCCTGTCTCCTGGCTGAGAAGCGGGGCGCACAGGGGAGCACCTATGATGCGAGACCCCTCCTCAATCCCTTTATTCTAAGCCTGCGTCTGGGTCTAGGTCCTGGGGCTGCAAAGATGGGGGCACCGCCCCCCCGCTCCCCCTCCAGCCTGGGACCCAGGGTAGATGAAGTGGAAGCCACCCCCAATTTCCCTCTCCCCAGCTGGGACCTGCAGACCCTCTGGGGACCGAGATAAGAAACCTCCTTCCCTTTTTCTCCTCTGGGAATTCTCGATCCAGTCCTAGTGGAACTGGGGGTCCTCCCGGCCCCTCGTGTGGCCTGTGCTGGAGCAGCCCCCTATCCCAAGGGCGGGGTGGGGACCTTTCATCGGCATCCTCCCCATGGACCCCAAGGTTGGAATTCTGGGGCGGGGGTTAGTGTGGGGGCCTGGCCTGGGCGGGCAGGCCAGGCCGGGAAGGGCGGGGAGTAGACGTGGGAGTGGTCCCTGCCTCGGTGGGGGCTGGGCAGCGAGCATCTGTTCCTGGTGTTAAAATAAATCGAGGTAAATTGGGATCTTGCTAGAGGCTGGCTGTGAGTGGGGTGTGGAGGAGGGGTGGGTGGCCCCTCCATCTGCCTCGGATCTCAGGAGTCGTCTGCCCGAGTCGCACGCAGTGGGGACCAGGAGGCGGCTGTGGACGGACCTGTCTCTGGTGACCTTGGCCAAGTGGCAGCCCTTCCCTGAGCCCCAGTTTTCTCCTTTGGGGAGGGACTGGGGGCTTCGGAGCCTGTATTCTGCAAATTCTGAAGCACCCCGCCCCCCATCTCTTGCCAGATCTTGATCCCACCCTTTCCCTTAAGCTGTGATTTGGGAGTGAGAGAGCAATGGGTTTGAAGACACACATAGCCCCGCCCCTGGCATGCCTTGCTGGCCTCTGAGCCTCAGTTTACCGCACTGCAAAATGGGTTGATGGCCACACTGTGGCATTGCTGGAAGGGCCTCTCTGCCACACAGTCCATTGTATCACCAGGCCCCAATCACTGGCACCGGAGCTCCAACACCCAGATTTCACCGGCAGGACCGCCCAGGGCACACCCTGACCCACATACCGTCACCCACACCAGGGGCAAGGCAGTGCCCGGGCAGGATCCTGGGCAGGAGGCAGTGCCGGGCCTGCCCGTCCCCTTTCCCTGGAAGCTCTGTCTCGGGAGCGGACGTAGGGGTGAGCACTGGGCCGGGAGTCTGATGGCCCCAGGTTCACATCCAGTTCTTCCGAACATGGCGTTGGCCCCCTGCACCTTGGTGTGTGTTTCTGTGAAATGGGCCGAATCCCTCTCGGGAGATCAAAGGAGCCTGTGGGAGGATGGGAGTGCTGTAAATATAGACACGGTCATTATAATGCTAATTGCAATATCGCTGCTCATAAATGGGTCACAGAGGACCGGGCGTGGGGAGAAGAGAAGGGTGTCGCCTGCTATGTCTCCAGCCTGGGCTCCCGTAGAGCTGGGTGCTCAGTAGTGTTTGCCCCAAAAGGTGATTGATGGGGGGTAGGGCATCCATGGGGAGGACTGAAAAAGTCCTCTGTGTGCTCAGGTGCTCAATGGCCCAATCGCTGTTAATGTGGGGCCCGTGCCTCAGTTTCCCCACGCTGGGTGATGGCCCAGGTGAGACACTGTCTCTGAGTGCGATTGTGGGCATCAAGCCGGAGCGTGTTCATGGCCACTCTGGTGCTGAGCCTGCAGGGGGGGAGCCCGGGACAGCTGGCCACCGACATAGCGTGGCCGAGAGGCTGGACACCGAAAAGGAGAGAAAGCCCCTCGCCTGGCCCGCCCTCCTGTGCGCAGACGAATGGAGGAGGAGCGAAATGCCACATCCTGTGTCACAAAGCCCGGGGAACCCAGCGCGGTCAGGGGCGTCCCAAGGTCGCCCCGCCGGAGGCCAGGAGCCGGCGTCTGACCTTCTTTGCTGACCGGGCTCCTGGCCGGGGCTGGGCTCACCCTGGCAGGCGCAGAGCCTCGGGTTTGGGGGAGCTGGTGCTGGGGAGGCAGGTTCAGCTCCAGGAGGTGCCAGGGCTCCTGTCAGACGTCCCCAGGGAGGACTCTGCTCCCGGCTTCTGGCAGCCAGGTGATGGGGGGCATCCTGGTCAGCTGACAGCCCGCTGTTTGACCTTGGGTGAGTCCCTGTCTGTCTCTGGGCTCCGCACGGGCCTTACAGAGGCCGGGAGACCGGGGTCGCAGCAGGTCCGGCTACGCCATCCGGTGCAGTGACCACCGTGTCTCTGGTGTAATTCTTTTAGGGATCCCTGAAGATGTTTTAACTTCTCTTAAAATCAGAAGGGAGCCAAGACCGGTTTTGCTCAGTGGATAGAGCATCGGGCTGCAGACTGAAGGGTCCCGGGTTCGATTCCGGTCAAGGGCATATACATTGGTGGGTGCCCATCCCTGGTGGGGAGGGTGCAGGAGGCAGCTGGTCGATCATTCTCCTTCATCGATCTTTCTGGCTCTCTATCTGTCTCCCTTCCTCTCTGTAAAAAAACAATAAAATATATATATTTTTTAAAACTCAGAAGGGGGAAAGATGAGTTGTGGAATCAAAGAAAACGTTGAAATACATGATATTAATATATTTGTCTTTATGCCAGTGTAGCTGTAAACTATAGTATACATTATTTTCTTGCTTAAATTTTTTTTTTTTTTTTTTTTTTTTTTTTTTTAATTTCAGAGAGGAAGGGAAAGGGAGAGAGAGATAGAAACATCAATGATGAGTGATCATCATTGATCGGCCGCCTCCTGTGTGTGCCCTGACCGGGAATCGAACCATGATCGCCTGGTTCCTAGGTGGATGCTCACCCACGGAGCCACGCTGACTGGGCTAAGTTGTTTTCTGAATGGAGCATGGGGCCCTGGAAGGCAAAATAGCCTCAAGCCAGTGAACGTCCTGATGAGACCCTGGGCGGAGTCTCACTCAGCACAGCCATCCATTAGCTGTGCACGTTTGTTTGGACATGGCCCCCCCGCTCTGAGCCTCAGTTTCTCCGCCTACGAGCGGGCATCCTTGGCCCCCTCGGGATGGCGAGCTTCGGCGTGCTGAGCCCAGGGTTGGCACTCGGTTTGTGGGTTCCATTATTTCACGGTTGTCGAGACGACGATTTGGTGGGTGGTAGGGCTGCGGGTCCCGGGGCCTCAGTGTACCCGGCTGTGGCCTGCTCCAGCGCAGAGGTCCCAGGGTGCCGCGCCGGGAGGGGAGGGTGAGGCGGCCGTTGGGCGGTGGCGGGGCGGGTGTGCTTCCTGTCGCCCACACCGCGGCCTCGGCTGGCGGAAGTGGCAGGGGCTGCGTGTGTCTGTGCCTGCCCCGCCGGACGGAGCCCAGCCCCGCTTACTGCGCCGTTTGGTGAGTTGGGGCCCTGCTGGGGGGGCCCCATGGCCCCGCTCTGCCCCCCTCGGGAGCAGGAAGCGCACCCCCTGCCCCTGGGTTCCAGAAACAGCAGGTGTCACTTCCTGGGCCTGGCCAAGCCCGCGGGCTGCCTCCTATGGCCGTGCTGAGCCGTGTGGCGGGTCGCCAGGCCGTGGAGCGGCCGTGGAGGCCCGGAGCCACCAGGACGGCTCTGAGCGGAGTCCGTCGGCAGCCAGGCCGCGGGCCGGGGACAGTGACCGCTCTGGGCGTCCGTGTCCTCGGCTGTCCCGTTGGGGCTGCTCCCTGGTGTGGCTGTGACGGTTCAGTGACCGGGACCCTGTGAGGAGCTGAGCACCGCGCCCACGCACACGGGCATCGTTGCCCAGGGGCGGCGGGGGAGGAATCTGGTCCGGGCTGTGGAGACAGGATCGCGATGTTTGGTTTCGGTGGAACGTGGGCCTGGTGGCTCCCGGGATCCTCTGACACGGCACTCACCGGAGTCTCTGTCCGTGCCGTCCTGCATGGCAGCTGCCAGCTGAGCCCGGGAAGCAAGGCTGGCACAGATGAGGGGATTCATCTAAATGTTACTTAGTGTAAAGTTAAGTGACCAGCCCTGGCCAGTGTGCTCAGTGGTTAGAGCGGAGGCCTGCACACCCAAGGGCCTTGGGTTTGATCCTGGTCAAGAGCATAGACCTGGGTTGTAGGTTCTGTCCCAGCCCCCATTGGGGCACCTGCTAGAGGCAACCAATTCCTCGGGTAAGGATTAACAACAACAACAACAACAACAACGAAAGTAAAAGTAAGTGGCTACAGCCCTGGCAGGTATGGCTCAGTTGCTTAAGGCAGTGGTCGGCAAACTCTAGTCAACAGAGCCAAATACCAACAGCACAACGATTTCTTTTGAGAGCCAAATTTTTAAAACTTAAACTTCTTCTAATGCCACTTCTTCAAAATAGACTCGCCCAGGCTGTGGTCTTTTGTGGAAGAGCCACACTCAAGGGGCCAAAGGGCCACCTGGGGCTCTCGAGCCGCAGTCTGCCGACCACGGGGTTAGACCAAAGGGTCGTAAGTTTGATTCCCGGTCAGGGCACATAATGCACGGGAGGCAACGGGTCGATGTTTCTCTCTCACATCGGTGTTTCGCTCTCTCCCCTCTCCATTCCTCTCTCTCTCTAGAATCAATGAAAAACACACCCTCTGGTAAGGATTAAAAACAAAAAATAAAAAGCTGCCGCGCGAGCTAGTGGTTCCTATGCCGGTCAGCCTAGCTCTAAGGGATTCAGAGATGCTCAGAGTCTGGCTCATGGCCGGAAACGAAGAAATGAGACAAGGCGTTTCCTTTTGGGGATGTCAGGCTCGTGTGGCAGGCTGGGCTCCTCAGGGGCTGCACTGGCCGCGGAAGTTTCTCACGAGCCCCAGCACCACCAGGGTGAATGCTGGGAATATTTGTTGAATCAACGTGTGTGTGTGGGTGTGGGTGTGTGTGTGTGGGTGGGTGTGCCCAGACTCCTATTCATGCTTTAAAACCCAGCACGTGCCCGGCTGATGTGACTCAGTGGTTGCGCATTGACCTATAAATCAGGAGGTCATAGTTGGATTCTGGTCAAGGGCCTCTGCCCTGGTGGCCGGCTTGGTCCCCAGGAAGGGGCGCAGGAGGCAGTCAACGAACGATGCTCGCTCATCATCGTTTCTCTCTCTCTCTCCCTCTCCCTTCCTCTCTGAAATAAATAAAAATACATATGTTTTAGAAAACCCGACAGCCATGCCTCCCTCGTTCAGTGCAGGCTTTCCCAGTTCTGGTTCCTCCCTTTGGCCCAGCCCGGGCCCTGCAGGACCAGGGTGTCTGTATCCAGGTCTGGTCCCCTAGCCCCGGGGGCTCCTCAGGGTGCCGGCCCAGGGCTGAATCACCTCCCCGATCCTGGTGTCGTCCTGGCCCTGTGGGCACACGGTGGGCGCTGGGTGAAGGCAGGGACTGGGGCTGGATTAGAATGGATCTAGTTAGACTCACTTCCCAGATTAGGTAAGCGGGGGGTCAGCCATGGGCAGCCCTGCCTGAGGTCCTCACTCGGTCCCTTCCTGGTGAGGCCTGGGGGTCTGAGCGCGGCCGCCAGCCCTGCCCGCTGCCACGGTGCGTCCCGGCCTCCAGCTGCCGCCGAGCTGCCTTCGGAGTCATGAATGATGAATGGGGCCCGCGGCTCCAGTGACAAGCCCGGCCTCGAGAACATGCCAAGGACACCCAGTGTCCCTCCGTCGCCAGGTGGCCTGACCCACCACTCCCTCTTCGGGGAGTCCTGCCCCCACCCCAGCAGGACTCCATCTAGGCATTCTCTCTTGTTCTGCAGATGGGGAAACTGAGGCACAGAGCCGGACAGTGACTCAGATACCAGGTGAACACCAGCCCCCGGGGGCAGGGTGAGGACCCATGGAGGCACCAGTAGCACCTGGGTGAGGGGCGAGCTCCCCGATCCAGGAGCGTGCATGACGGGGGGACTGTTGTGGAGGGGGTACAGGAGGCCCCCAAGGGGCCCACACACCCATGTGGCTAGTCGCAGCCCCCGTGTCCCTTTCTCACCAAACCCTTTTCCGCCAGGAGCTGCCGGGGGTGGATTGGAGTACTCGGGCCCGGACTCAGCTGGCTCAGAGTGCAAACCTGCCGTCCGTTCCTGAGTGTGCGACCTGGGCAAGTGGTTTCCCCTCAGGGATGGGGCCCCGCTTTCCCATCTATACAGTGACCAAAAGCCCAGCCAGTGTGGCCCAGTGGTTGAGCATAGACCCAGGAACCAAGAGTTCACTGGTTCAATTCCAAGTCAGGCCACAGGTCCAGGTTGTGGACTCCATCTCCGGTAGGGGTGCATGCAGGAGGCAGCTGATCAATGGTGTTCCTCTGATCGAGATTTCTCTTTCTCTCTAAAATCTATTTAAAAATAAAAAATAAGCCGAAACCGGTTTGGCTCAGTGGAGAGAGCATTGGTCTGCGGTCTGAAAGTTCCCAGGTTCGATTCCGGGCAAGGCCATGTACCTTGGTTGCAGGCACATCCCCGGTGGAGGGTGTGCAGGAGGCAGCTGGTCGATGGTTCTCTCTCATCGATGTTTCTAGCTCTATATCACTCTCCCTTCCTCTCTGTAAAAAAAAAAAAAAAAAAAAAAAAAAAAAAAAAAAAAAAAAAAAAAAAAGATCAATAAAATATACTTTAAAAAATAATACATAAATAAAAATAAAAAATAAGTAAAATGGCCAAGAACTTTTCTCCCCAGTCTAGGGCTCATCCAATAACCTTCTCAGCAGTGAACTCCTATTTGTGCTCAAGAACCCCAGTTACCTTGCCCCTTCCTTTAGTCTAGGCTCTCCTAGCCCCTAGCCCTCTGTCTAACCCCACAGAACGTGGGGCATCTGCATCCACTTTGTCCTCCAGACTGGGGCTCCTTGGCCCAGGACTGAGTCATCTCAGGAGCCCTGCACGCTCCCAGCTTTGGGTGCCTCCGCTGTCTTCTCTCTCTCTCTCTCTCTCTCTCTCTCTCTCTCTCTCTCTCTCTCTCTCTCGTCCGCAGAGAGGGCAAACAGTCCCCTCCTTGGGCCCAAGACAGCCATGACGTTGCACCTCACACTTGCCTCTCTCCTCAGACAGGCACTAGGCAGGAGTCTGCAGGGGTCTCCACAGAAGGCACCAGGATGTCGTATTTTGGGGAGCATTTCTGGGTAAGTAAGACCCACTCTTGGTTTGGTGGGTGCTCCAAAAAGGGCTTTTATGGGGGTGGGGGGGACCTGGCAGCTTGTGGGCAGAATGTGGGCAAGTGGAGGGTCTGTAAGGAATGGAAGTTAAAGGGACAGGCAGGCTGGGCTTCCGTCTACACCCCAGCCCAGATGGGCCTTGTGACCTTGGACCAGCGCAGCGTGAACAACAAACTGGGGCTCAGAGTAGGGCTCTTTCACCTGAGGGTGCCCAGTGAGAAAGTGCAGGGTCAGGGCTCAAACCCAGGGCCAGCAGAACTCCCAGGATCCAGCATTATTCCAGCGAGAGGATTTCCCTCTTTCCCATCCTGGAGAACTGGGAGTTGGGGGGAGGGCAGTTCATGGCTTGACCCCTAGGGGCCGCCTCACTCGTTTGCCCTCCAAGCCAGGGACTGTGCCCCAAGGGGGCCACCTGAGATGGGCTTGTTTTCATTTATTCATTCGTTCACACTCTCCATCCCAGCCACCAACACTGCACACCCAGCCAATTCGGGGCAATGCTTCCCCCAAGAGACTCCACCCCAGCTCTGACCCCAAGGAGCCCCCAGCCTGGAGGGTAGGGAGTGAGCCTGACTCTCCCAGCCCTAGCGTACCTCGGAGGCAGCCAGAGGAGGAGCCAGGACACAGAGCCATGGTTGCTGTGTGAAGGCTGAGATTGTCCAGGCACTCCAGGCACGGGAACAGCCTGGACAGGAGCCCAGAGGTGTGACACTGGCTGGTGAGGAGAGGGCACGGGGCTCCTCCTGCAGGGCCAGGCTAGTGGGGAGCCACAGAGGATGCATGAACAGGAGAGTCTAGGAAGGACCAGGGCCCAAAGCCCCTTCCCCAGTTGCTAGCCCTGAGCCAGCAGAGAGGAAGTCTGTTGCTAGGCAACTGGTTGCCCCTAGCAACTGGCCCTGCTCCCTTCCTTTCTCCCTCCTGGGTTGGGGCTCTTCTTACTGGCCTTGCTTTCTTAAAGGGGCCACACCCCCTGGCCACCTGTGGGGACCTGACCTATGCCCCTTCCCAAAGGTCAGGCTCCAGATTTGCCTCTGAATAGAATAGCTGTGTGACCCCCCCAGAGGCTGCCTCTCTCTCTGAGACTCTGTGTCAGGGTATTGCCCGGTTGAGGATCAGTCATGCTGCCCACGCTTTGGAATCCTGACAACGGCACCTACATTTATTTAAAATTTATTTTTAATTGCACGAGGCACACAGGCTCACTGGAGAGCATCCAGATCAGCAAAGAGAAAATAGAAGCCACCTCCGTCCCCTCCCCAGACACCAGAAGACAGTCCAGTGCACAGGGAATGAGACTTCGGGTCTGAGATTGGAACTGGGCGCGGCTGGGAGTTCTTGGAGAGGTGACTTGGCCTCTCGAAGCTTCAGTTTCCCAAACTTAGGAAGGGGGATAAAATCCCCCCCTTCCCTGGGGCGCAGGACATGCTTCTGAGATGTCTGTTTTGTTTAATTTAATTGTTTGTGTTGGGGGCTCTTTGCTGGATGACACTGGGGCCCTGGCTGGCCTGAAGGAGGTGCCAGTCCAGGGGGAGATGGATCCAGACAGGGCTGCTCTAGCCCTACTGGGCCAGAGCAGGACTGGAGGCCTAGAGAGCACTCGGGAGCCATGGAGGGAGTGTGAGCAGGAGAGGGACACGAGTAAGCTGTGTTAGGAATACCCTCTGAGACAGCCCCTCCTCGGACCCTCGGCTGCCAGCCCAGCCCGAGGGAGGCGGACACTGCTGGGGGCTTTGCCAGGCCTGGGAAAGGGGCCAGCAGTTGGCTCCGCGTCAGCCCCAGATGCTGGCCTGGCCAGCGGTGCCTGGTGCAGCCTCACCCGAGGATCCCCTGGCCAGTGCTGGGGGGGCTGTCTGGGCTGTTTGCTGAGCACCCCTCCCGTGCAGGGAGCCCTGTGTCAGCTCCAGACCAGCCTCAGGTCACCGAAGCTCTCGCGGGTAGGTGCTGTCATTGTCCCCATTTGTCAGATGAGGAAACTGAGGCCCAGGGAGGGGAAGTCACTGGCCCAACGTGGGTCAGTGCCTAAAAGGAGGATTGGACTCTTGAACCTTGAAAGGATAACCATAGATGTGGAAGGAGAAGAAACGGATTCCTGGGGAGCTGGAGGGATCCACCATGAACCCCAGGGAAGCGAGAGTTTGAGGGGGGTCTGAGAAGGTTCTGGAAGGTGGGAGGTCTGGCAGGGACCCTGGAGAGGGGGAAGTATTGGGTGGGAAGGAAGATATGTAGGCTGGTCGCGGGCGGTGGAGCTGAGGGCGAGGCTGAGAGCGAGCTGAGAGGTGAGTCTGGAAAGGCAGGTCCAGGCCACGGGCTTTGGACACAGCAGCTAGGGGGTCACAGGGGGCCCCCACTGAGTCTAGAATGAGCAGCGACTGAGATTTGGGCTCGAGCCTGTCCTGGTTCTGCCCCAGGCTTGGCTTTAGTGTCTCCATTTGTGCCCAAGAGGGATCCTCGGATGGTGGCTTCTGGCCTTCAGGGGTCCAGGTAACGAGGAAGGTGAACCCCACAAACTGGAGGAGGAGGGAGGGGCAAATGCCACCAAAGGGGTTGCTTGGGGATCGGCGTTGGCAGCGGGTCCCTCCAGGAGTCTCCTCTCTCCATCGGGATAAAAAGGCCCATTTGGTGCTAACGTGTCTCCAGTTCCCTTGGACCCCGCTGACCTCCCATGTTTACGAACGGCTCCATGTTCAGACACGATGCACCTACATGTGCATAAAAACATAGCTGCTGCCTTATTCTCTCCCCCGTTCCCTTCCTGATGGCATGGGGTCCTGGTTGTCCACTTAAAATAGTGGTAAAATGCTGAAACCGATTTGGCTCAGTGGATAGAGCGTCGGCCTGCGGACTGAAAGGTCCCGGGTTCGATTCCGCTCAAGGGCATGTACCTTGGATGCGGGCACATCCCCGGTAGGGGGTGTGCAAGAGGCAGATGGTAGATGTTTTTCTCTCTCATCGATGTTTCTAGCTCTCTATCCCCCTCTCTTCTTCTCTGTAAAAAAAAAATCAAAAAAATATATTTTATTTTTTTTAAATTAAGAATAGTGGTAGAAGTTGCCCTTTTAAATAAAAATGTGTTTGGGGGAAAAAAAAAAAAGAAGAAAAAAAAACATGAGCAAGCTGGAACTGGTTTGGCTCAGTGGACAGAGCGTCAGCCTGCGGACTGAAAGGTACCAGGTTCGATTCCGGTCTAGGGCATGTACCTTGGTTGTAGGCACATCCCCAGTAGGGGTTGTGCAGGAGGCAGCTGATGGATGATTCTTTCTCATCGATGTTTCTAACTCTATCCATCTCTCTTCCTCTCTGTAAAAAATCAATAAAAAAAAAAAAAATATATATATATATATATATATATATATATATATATATATATATATATTTTTTAAAGAAGAAACATGAGCAAAATTAAATCAAGCATGAACGAATGCCTCCAATTAGCAAAACCTGGGGCTTCTTGGGTGCTGGGGACCCTGTCGTCTTGGTGTTTATCGTCCTCAATGAGAGGTGATGACTCCCTGCCCCCATCTTACTGCGGGTTCCCTGCAGAGGGACAGTGATTTTCCGGGCCGCCCAGCCCAGCCCTGGCCATCCCCGTTGTGGTGACCCCAGGACTTGGGTGAAAGGGGTTTTGTTCAACGCAGGCACCTGGGGGGGGGGGGGCGCTCTGTTCCCACCAGCACCCGGTGACTGAGGAATAGCTCTAGGTTCTGCTAATTCGGGGCATTGGATGGTTTGCTTTCATGTTGCTCATTTGTTCACTTATTTAACAAACCCCAGTGCCCTGCCGGGTTAGGCCTGCTCCCTGGGAGTGGGGAAGGCCTACCCTGGCAGGCAGACATCCCAGGAGGGTTCATGGACCACAAGAGGGCGCAGGCCAAACTGAGGGACGCCCCCCTCCAGTGCACGAATTCTGTGCACCAGGCCTCTAGTAGAAATAGAGAGAGACAACTAGTGAATGTATCTTTTTCAACTATAGGACACAAGTCCCCAGCTTCTCTCTGTTTAGGCCAATTTAAGGCCCATGCACCAATGCGTGGGGGGGGGGGGGGGGGGGGCGGGGCGCGTTAGGGGGATGAACCAATCCCTGGAGCCAAGGGGATGGGCTTCTGCGGGTTGGGTTCTCTGTTGAAGCCCCAGTGGCTGGACAGCACTGACTTTTTTCTGCATCCTTTCCTCAGTCTCCACTTCCGTTCTCTTGCAGGGCGAGAAGAACCACGGCTTCGAGGTTCTGTACCACAGCATGAAGCAGGGGCCCATCTCCACCAAGGAGCTGGCGGAATTCATCCGGGAGAGGTGAGCTTCCCACGCCCACCCCCCTGCTACACGGCAGTGCCCCACGTCAGCCCAGCCTCGCCTACCATCCGGTCTCACAGCCCCGCCCCTCCCCGCCCCCTCAGGTCCAGACCCCGTGGGCTCCAGGGTCCACATGTGCTGGAAGACCCTCGAGACTAGTCTTCTCAACGCCCTCAGCCCCACGATCTCCAGTAAACATCCTTCCCCAGGTCTCTCACGCCTCCTGAAGACATATGACCTACCTCAGTGGTCAGCAAACTGTGGCTCTCGAGCCACATGCACGGTGGCCCCTTGTGTGTGGCTCTTCCACAGAATACCACGTGCAGGCGTGCACGTTCAGCGCGATTGAAACTTCCCAGGCGTCGGTTTTCGGCTCTCAAAAGAAATTTCAATGGTTGTACTGTTGATATTTGGCTCTGTTGACTAATGAGTTTGCCGACCACTGACCTACCTCAAGGGGAATTTGAAAACCCAATCTTGTGCCCTAAGCATGATAAAAGAAAACGCGTGTGATAAAATAGTCCACACTTCAGCATGTAAGTGTTCAGCTGTTCCTATCCCAGAAAACACAGTAAAATCAGATTGCAAAGCAGCTCCCTGGTCCCTCAGTAGTGAGGGCCTGTGACGTCCGGGAGAGAGTTCAAAGGATGAGAACTGAGTATTTCTCTTTATGGCTGGCAAGTGGCACTTGCCATGCAGTTCAGAGGCTACTCCTTCTTTTGTGGGTCTTCCCCCGTGTGGTGCTCCGAGGGTGCCTCTCCAAGAAGATGCCCCCGTGGGCAATTGTTCTTTGTTTTGTTTTGTTTTTTTAAATATATATTTTATTCATTTTTTTACAGAGAGGAAGAGAGAGGAATAGAGAGTTAGAAACATCGATGAGAGAGAATCATCGATCAGCTGCCTCCTGCACACCACACTGGGGATGTGCCCGCAACATGTCCTTGACCGGAATCGAACCTGGGACCTTTCAGTCCGCAGGCTGACGCTCTATCCACTGAGCAAAACCGGATTCAGCAGGCAATTGGTTTTAACTGGGCTCGTTGCTGCCCCAAACAAAGTGAAGGCTCTATTCGTCCAGATGAAAATGAGCGTGGAGATGAGGTGTCTGTCCAAAGGAAAGGAAGAGATTTGAGTTTGCCTGCTGCAGTTAAATGAGAAAAACAATCTAAACTTTAATGGTTTTTCTCATTTATATTATAAAGCATTTGCAGTAAGTGCTCAAAGATTTTTGACCTACTGTTGCTACTGCTACTACTACTATTGTTGTAAAATGTATTATTTAAGGAAAAAAACCTCTCCCATGAATTTCCTGGTTCTGTCCTCACTGAGAGCCACCGCTCCGATGTTTGGGGTGGGAAAACGGAGTCTCAGGGGGGCGGGGTATCTCCCGGAAGTGCCCAGAACCTCCCCCAGCCTTTTCCTGTCCTCCCATCCAGGGCCACGATCGAGGAGACTTACTCAAAAGCCATGGCGAAACTTTCCAAGCTGGCCAGCAACGGGACCCCCGTGGGGTGAGTGGGCCGTGGCGGGGGAGGGGTCCCCAAGGTTGTGGGGTCCTGGGGGAGCCTCCCCTTGGGTGCACATCTTCTCACAGGTGTGCTGTGTGGGACAGGGAGTCCTCCCCCACCGATAGACAGAGGAAGGAGTGCCATCCATTCATTCAGTATCTCATTCACTCATTTAACACATACTTGCTGTGCACCTTCTGTGTGCCAGGCGCTGTTCCAGGCTCTAGCCACCCCTCGGCCACCGAGATGGATAAAACCCTCAGTTACCTTCAGGCTAAATTCATGCCAGGCACATCCAGGATGTGTGATGAGTCACACGTTAGCTACAGACACGAGCAGGTCCTTCCCCGGCGCTGAGAGGGCTGGGGAGGCCGTGACATAATCGTGGGAGAGGTTGGGCACCTCCTCCGGGGTGGCCTCCGGTTCTGTGAGCTGAGACCTTAGTCACGGGGAGGAGTCAGCCCTGGGAGGGTGGGGGGGACAGAGACCCCGGCTGGCACTCGGCCAGGGTGGAGGCGCTGATGCAGCCACACTGTCTGTCTGAGGAGGAGCAAGGAGGCGGGTGTGCTGCAGGGCCTGGGGGGGCGGGGGAGGAGATGGCGGGTTAGACACACAGGTGGCTTTTAAACAAGGATGCGAGGTGGTTTGCAAAGTTCCCTGTGGCTGCTGTGGGGCAAAAGTTCTGCCAGGGGCAGACATGGCGGCGGAGGGAGGGAAGGCAGGGGGAGCTGGGTTGGGGGGGAGGGGAGGCGGCGGGGTTCTGTGAGGTAGGGAGGCCCCGTGAACTTGGTTGGGGCCGGTTGGGTCTTAGCTGCCTTTGGATATCGGGCGGGGCCTCGAGTGAGGACTCTGGGCCTCCGGACCTGAATTTCAATTCCAGCTCTGATGGTCATTCGCTGAGCCTCCCATGCCTCAGTTTCCCCATCTGTCACGAGCCTGCCTTATAGGGTTGCAGTGGGGATTAAATGAGTCAGTATGTGTTGATGCTTAGCAGGGCCTGGCACACAGGAGGTCTGAGGGGCCCAGGGGTGCAGGGCTTGCCGGGCCCTGGTGTGACCGGTCCTGCCGTCCCAGGACCTTTGCCCCTCTCTGGGAAGTGTTCCGCGTCTCCTCGGACAAGCTGGCGCTCTGCCACCTGGAGCTGACCCGGAAGCTGCAGGACCTCATCAAGGACGTGCTCCGCTACAGCGAGGAGCAGCTCAAGATGCACAAGAAGGTGTGTGCCCGGGGGCACTGCCCGGGGGATTGGGCTGGGCAGGGAGGGGCACGGCTGAAAGGAGCCCAGGCCTTCTGAGGTCTACAAGCCTCCAGCCTCCAAGTGTGCCTCGGAGGATTCTGGTAATTCTGAAATTTCGAACCCAGAACCCTGCAGGCCAGGGAACGGTCAGACATTTCAGACTCAAAATCCTCGAGCAGAGTCTGCGCTCTGCAGCCTGGGGGCCCGGTCCAGCCGCCCCTGGTTCTGTCCCGCCCACCAGCTCAGAACGGTTATCACATCTTTAAAAGGTGGTGGTGGGAGCCGGAGAGGAAGAATACTTTGAAACTTGAACATGAAATGACACTGAGTGTCAGTGCCAGAACACACCCAGGCCCGCGTGTGTACAACAGTCTGTGACTTTTTCTGAGCTGAGAGTCCATGACAGACAAACCCCTGAACTGCCTGTCCCTTCACTCAGAGAGATTGCTAACCTCTCATCCAGGCGGCCAGAACCCACAGAGGTTATTATCCGACGTGTCTAGACGCTTTCAAACCTAGAATCTTGGAAGCGTCAAGCCTTAGACTCTCAGGATCCCAAAATAGTAGCATCTGATAATCCCTAGGTGCTTGGCATTGACTGGCCCACATCTGCGTCTTTAACTCTGTTAAAAGGGGAGGTGGCAGTGGTACTCAATGCTGTGTACTTATAAATGGTTAATACAGTAAATTTTACGTTATGTGTATTTTACCACAATTTCTTACAAATGGGGACAAGGAAGTTCCCTATGGGCTGGTGTGGGACATTTGGGAATGGACTATGATGTGGAACCATCAGTGGGATACACAGCACACAGACTGCTGCAATCTGTCATTAAAAAATGGGTGGAGCCGAAACCAGTTTGGCTCAGTGGATAGAGCGTCGGTCTGTGGACTGAAAAATCCTGGGTTCGATTCTGGTCAAGGGCATGTACATTGGTTGCGGGCTCATCCCCAGTGGAGGTTGTACAGGAGGCAGCTGATCAATGACTCTCTCATTGATGTTTCTAGCTCTCTACCCCTCTTCCTTTCACTCTGTAAAAAATCAATAATATATATATATATTTTTTTTTAAAAATGGGTGGAAACAAGCATACTTACCTGTCCACGTGCTGATGAATTCTAGAGATCTATGGTCTCAATAATGGGGAACCCCTGGCAGAGGCCTGGGAGGCTGGCCATCAGGAAATGGAAGGTCTTTTGTTTTATTGTTGATTTTTATTTTTTTAAAATATATATTTTATTTGATTGATTTCAGAGAGGAAGGAAGAGGGAGTTTGAGACAGGAGCATCAGTGATGAGAGAGAATTATAGATCTCTCCCGCTGCCTCCTGGAGGCCCCACATTGGGGATGGAGCCTGTAACCCGGGTGTGTCCCTGACCCGGAATTGAACCCTGACCTCCTGGTTCATAGGTCAATGCTCAACCACTGAGCCACACGAGTCAGGATATTATTGATTTTTTTAGTGACAGAGTAGAAAGGAGAGAGGGAGAAGAAGAAGAAGAAGAAGAAGAAGAAGAAGAAGAAGAAGAAGAAGAAGAAGAAGAAGAAGAAGGAGGAGGAAGAGGAGGAGGAAGAGGAGGAGGAGGAGGAGGAGGAGGAGGAGGAGGAGGAGGAGGAGGAGAGAAAGAGAGAGATCAAGATCGTTTTGTTTTCCACTGATTTATATATTGTGTGGTCAAACCCACAACCTTGCTGTATCACCAACTGAGCTATTCAGCCAGGGCAGGGTATAGGAGATTTTAGGGAGCTCACCCCTTAAAAACTTTTTGAATGATGTGTAAATATTACCTATTCTAAACGTTAAAATTTTTTATATTAAAATAATACTCAGAGAACCCCACCATGTTTGGGAAGCTGGGAGCTTCACGGGCTACAGCTGAGGTCTGCTCGGGTCCTGCACCCACGGGTGTCGGGTGGCACCCATGCTCCCCCTTCCCCTCCCTCGCAGCTGAAAGAGGAAGCAGGGGGCACGCTGGACGCTGTGCAGGTCCTCGCAGGCGTCAGCCAGCTCCTGCCCAAGGCCCGGGAGCACTACCTGAGCCGGTGCATGGACCAGGAGCGGCTGCGGCGGGAGAGCACCAGCCAGAAGGAGATGGACAAGGTGAGCCACACCGGCCCACGCCCGTCCGCGGGGCCAGGCGTCTGCCCAGGCCGGGGGGGGGGGGGGGGGGGAGCGAGAACACGTCACAGAGCTGTAGTTACTGAACCTGGGGGTGCTCACCAGACCCCGGGCACCCCGAGAAGTCTACCTGCAGGGGGAGCGGTGGGCAGGCTCCCTGAGGGACCTCACCCAGCCCCGTCCCTGCTCTGGGCCTCCCAGGCGGAGACCAAGACCAAGAAGGCGGCCGAGAGCCTGCGTCGCTCCGTGGAGAAGTACAACTCGGCCCGCGCGGACTTCGAGCAGAAGATGCTGGACTCGGCTCTGGTAAGAACCGGAGGTCTGTACCTCAGAGACCCACCCCCGCCCTGGGCCTCGGACCAGAACCTCCCGCACCCTCATCTCCCAGGAGCCCGGGTACAGGGAGAGGCCATCAAATTCTGCAGCCAGTTAGCTGTTATTATCGTTGCTGACGTTAGTATCATTTCAAAAGTCAAACACTTTTTATTCTATTTGTGAATCCTCACCCGAGGATGTTTTTCATCGATTTTTAGGGAGAGCGGAGGGGAGGGGCAGAGAGAGAGAGAGAGACATAGATATGAAAGCTACACGTCGATGGTTGCCCCTATGTGTGCCCCGACAAGGGCCGGGGATCGAGTCTGCAACCGAAGGAGGTGCCCTTGACAAGAACCCAGGACCCTTCCGTGCAAGGGCTGATGGTCTATCCGCTGAGCCAAACCGGCTTGGGCCCAAATCATTTTTGTGCCTTGGTTTCCCTGCCTGTAAAACAGGAACAGGAATAGTACCGGCCTCATAGAGCTGTTGTGAAGATTAAATGAGTCGCTATATGTGCAGTTTCCAGAGCAGTACCAGGTGCATAGAAACCACTCGATGAGGTGTCATCTTTGTTTATATTATTGTTGACTAGAGGCCCGGTGCATGAAAATTCACACCCTGGAGGGCTCCCTCAACCTGGCCTGTGCCCTCTGGCAGTCCAGGACGCCCCGGGCGATGTCCACCCGACGGCTTAGGCCTGGCCCTGCGTCCCCACCACCTGGGTGGTCATGATGCGACCTGTCCCTGCCGGCTCACTAGCCAGGTGCCACCTGCCTGGAGGCCATGTTTATAACCCTCACACGAAGGGAGGTGGGCCAGATGTCCGGCTGGTCCATTGTCCTCACAGATGGGAGGCAAATGGTAATCTCAGGGATAGAGTGCGTGCAGCCGGCAGAGGGGCGTGAACGGCGGGCCTAAGCTGCAGTGGGACATCCTTAGCGCTGCCGAGGGGGCGGGGCGGCTCCCTCCACCGCCGCTGCCCTCGCGCCAGCCTGGCCTGTGGCTGAGCAGAGCTCCCCGGTGGGAGCTCACTGACCACCAGGAGCCGCTCCTCATTGAGGGTCTGCCCTCTGGTGGTCAGCGCGCTGCATAGCACCCGGTCATTCCTCAGTTAGGGTCAATTTGCATATTACCCTTTTATTATATAGGATAAGTGTGTGTGTGTGTGTGTATGTGTGTGTTGTTGTTGTTGTTGTTGTTTTTAAACAAGATAGGGCAGGATTTAGACTAGGGGTGTCGAACTCAATCAGAGAAGGGGCCAAAATCTAAAATCCAGCCTAAATCGCGGGCCGAATGGTTTACTGAACAGTCATAAACTGTCATTGTGATGGAAACGCAGCGGAGTGCAGTGATGACAGCGCGGTGCGGGCCACATTGCAAGGCCTGGCGGGACGGATTTGGCCCGCGGGCCTTGTGTTTGACACATGTGATTTAGACTCTAAAAGTCTCCTGACATTTCATAGTGTCTGAAAGGCCCCGGTTCTAGTCCAGCCTCCATTTCTCACCAGATACATCACTGTTTACAAGCTACTGCACCTCTCTGGGTCTCTGTCCACCCAAATGCATGAGAAGCAGATTGGAATCTCAGGATTAGGAATCAGATTCCCGCCCCCCCCTCGATTTTGCAAGTGACAGAGAATTACAAAGGATAGAGACCTGCATTCGATCTGACAAAGGAAGTTTGTCGGCTCACAGGAGGGAAAGCTGGAGGGAGGGCTCCAGGCTCGGCTGGACCCAGTGCTCCAAGGGTGCTGGCAGGAAGTCGTGCCTCTGCCCTTTTCAAGCCTGTTTTTCTCTCTGGGGCTTCATTCTCAAGCAAACACGCCCGTGTGTGTGTGTGTGTGTGTGTGTTGTGTGTGTGTGTGTGTGTGTTGTGTGTGTGATGTGTATGTGTGTGTATGTGTGTGGTGTGCAGATGTATGTGTATATGTGTGTGTTGTGTGTGTGTTGGTGTGTGTGTGTGATGTGTGTGTGTGTGTATGTGTGTGGTGTGTAGATGTATGTGTATATGTGTGTTGTGTGTGTTGGTGTGTGTGATATGTGTGTGTATGTGTGTGTATGTGTGTGGTGTGTAGATGTATGTGTATATGTGTGTTGTGTGTGTTGGTGTGTGTGATATGTGTGTGTATGTGTGTGTATGTGTGTGGTGTGTAGATGTATGTGTATATGTGTGTGTTGTGTGTGTGTGTGTTGTGGGTGGATGTGTGTGTGTGTTGTGTGTGTACTGTAAGTGTGGTGTGTGTGTGTGTGTGTTGTGGGTGGATGTGTGTGTTGGTGTGTATGTGTGTGTATGTGTGTGTGTTGTGTGTGGATATGTGTGTGTTGGTGTGTGTGTTGTGTGTGTACTGTAAGTGTGGTGTGCGTGTGTGTGTGTGTGTGTGTGTGTTGTGGGTGGATGTGTGTGTTGGTGTGTGTGTGTGTGTATGTGTGTGTTGTATGTGGATATGTGTGTGTTGGTGTGTGTGTTGTGTGTGTACTGTAAGTGTGGTGTGCGTGTGTGTGTGTGTGTGTGTTGTGGGTGGATGTGTGTGTTGGTGTGTGTGTGTGTGTATGTGTGTGTTGTATGTGGATATGTGTGTGTTGGTGTGTGTGTTGTGTGTGTACTGTAAGTGTGGTGTGTGTGTGTGTGTGTGTGTGTGTGTCCAGCAAAGGTGCCCCCAGCAGCTTCCACGTGCATCGCACCAATTTGTTGACTCAGGATGTGAAAATGCCCTTTTCCTGTAGTTCCAGCCAAAGACCTAGGGCAGGCGCTCCCTGGCTCTGCCCCAAACCAGTCCCTGAGCCCGGGGGGTTGAAACACCTGGCTGACCAGGCTGAGCCTCACGGCAATCCTGGTGCCCCCCCCCCCCCGCCCCGTCCCCGCCCTGCCCTCAGCACTTCCAAACCCTGGAGGAGACCCACCTGCGGCACATGAAGGCCCTGCTGGGCGCCTACGCCCACTCGGTGGAGGACACGCACGTGCAGATCGGGCAGGTGAGCGGGGCCCCGGGGGCAGGGAGGAGGGGGAGGTGCCCAACGAGAGGTCCCTGGCCTTGCCCCGTCACACACCCCGCCCACTCCACCCAGGTGCACGAGGAGTTTAAGCAAAACATCGAGAACATCAGCGTGGAGATGCTGCTGAGGAAGTTCGCGGAGAGCAAGGGCACAGGCCGGGAGAAGCCCGGTGAGCGGGGCCGGGGGGCCGCTGCAGGGAAAGAACGGGGTTCAGGTGGCGGGAGGCGTCCCTGGCTCTCCGTTTCCTCGTCAGAAAAACGGGCTGGTGACAGGTCTCACTCCGCAGCCCACAGACGGCGAGGCTTGGGGCCTGATCTCATGTGTCGATCTAACACAGCCAGGTACCCGAGGGGCCATGAAGGCCAGACCCCCCATGTTCAAACTTGACCCCAACAGAGCCTTTGTGAGCAAAAGTCCAATCTGAAGCCGCCCGGAGGCAGGGCCGGGGGAATGGAGAGCACGAGTGTGGGGTCGGGCCTGGGTTCGAGTCTTTTCTTTCCTGCTGGCTGTGAGAACCTGGATATGGGCCTTGGAGTCTCTAAGCCTCAGTTTCCTCATCTGTAAAGTGAGGGTGATACTGACCCCCAGCCGATGGTGTGTGAATGCTCAGTGTGGCAGGTGAAGGATAAGCCAGGCACACGGGAGAATTCAATCAGGCTGGTGCACAGTCTGTCCCTGAGTCTAGTCGAGCACTAAGGACCGTCCTTTCTCCCTCGAGCTCCCCAGCTCAGCCCACCCCTCCTGGTGGAGGCCCTCACTCTGGCCCTTCACTGGCCTGCTCCTGCTCACACACCCTCCCTGGCTCCCCATCTCCCTTAGGGGCATCCCAGCTCCTCTGCCTGGCACTGGCCGCCCAGCCCATGGCATGGACTTGCGTTCCATCCCTGACCCTCCCACGTCCCACCCAGAAAAGCTGAGAGCAGAAACGACTCAGGCGTCACCCCCCGCCCCCCGCCAGCCCGTCCCACGGGGGGAGCAGAGCCCTCGGCCGTCCCACCGGGACCGGCTCCGGGGCCGGTTCGCATGCGGCCGGGGGTGTCCGGCTCCCCTCCCCAGGCCCGGGCTCCCTCCCTGCTGAGGGCCTCCCTCCCTTCTGTCTCAGGGCCTCTGGACTTCGAGGCGTACAGCGCAGCCGCCCTGCAGGAAGGCAAGTACGTCTGGGCCTGGACGCCCAGGCTGGACCGCAGGGAAAAGGGGGGCAGAGCTGGACGGGAAGGGGGCACCCCGGGGCTCAGCGGCACCCCTCTCCGTCCTCAGCCATGAAACGCCTGCGGGGAGCCAAGGCCTTTCGCCTCCCGGGACTGAGCCGGCGGGAGCGGGAGCCGCCTGCAGCTGTGTGAGGAAGCACCCCCACCCCCACTCCCACCCCCACCCCCACCCCCGGCCCAGACACCTCCTCCCGCCAGGCTGTCCCAGAAGCCCCTGCTTGGGGCAGCCCAGGAGCGTTCCGACCCCAGGCCAGGCACCGAGTACCTCTGGCCAGGCTGGCTCAGTGTCACCTGGTCTGCCCGGTCCAGAAGGCTTCCTTCTGCCAAGGCTGGACCAGGGCTGCCTGCCCAGACACTCCCAGGATGAGCCCTGCTCGGAGGCCCAGGATTCCCCCCTCCGTCTAGGTTAGTCCTGCTGTTTCCTCACCTGGCCTCTCCCAGCCGTTCCTCCTCTGCCAAGGTGAGCTGGGAGTCGCCTGCCCACACGGGCACCCACTCCTCCCTTCTCTGGGCCGTGGCTCCCCTGACGAGCCCTGGTCTGCCCTGCCCGGCCGGCCAGGATCCTTTCTTTTCCAAGACCAGCCCCCGCGCTCCATGTGTCCAGCAAGCCCTAGCTCCAGGGTTCCTCCCCTTCCAGCTGTCGGAGGACACCCCTCGCTTTGCCACCCCCAGGCGATTCCCACACCTGCAGGACCAGCTCAGGGTGTTATAGCAATCTGGGCCCACCCCCCTCGGCTGCCTTTTCCAGTGCTGGGGGCCAAGGGCAGGGCAGATGGGGGAGGCGGGGGCTGATACCAATGTCTCTTTTCTTACCCGCAGAGATTCTCTGGAGCCTGACCCACGGGTGAGTCATTGGTGTTTTTAGGGCGGGGCGGGGGGCGCGAAGGGAGGCAGGGAGAAAGTCGAGAGTTTAGAAGGGAAGTGTCTGACTCGCCGCCTGTCTTCCAGGCATGTGCAGAAGTGGATGAAGAAGGTTTCACTGTCCGGCCTGATGTGACCCAGAACAATATCCTCCTGGCGCCCTCTGGGGGCAGCTGTGGGCATAGCAATGGGAAAGCTCCGCCCACAGTGACTTCGCTGCCCTGAGCAGCCTTCTTGGTGCATGCCCTGTGGGGGATCCTCTAGGGAGGACCCAGCAAAGACACCTGCCCTGTGGGCTCGGGGGTGGTCAAGAGGGAGACAGGAGGGGCTGGGTGACAATAGAGGAGAATCCGAGAGGGCTTCCTGGAAGAGGGGGTACCGGTGTTGGGCTTAACAGTTGAATAGACTAGGATTTCACTAGTTAGGGCAGGTCACGCTGTGCCAAGGCTGGGACGGGGTCAGGGCAGGAGGTGGAGTGTGGTGTCAGGGCCAGGGTGGAGGGTGAGGGGGTGCTGCAGGGCGTGAGTGGGAAGGGCTGTGGTCAGTTGAGGGCTGACCGGGTGGACGCCCTGCCCTGGATCTGCTTGGCTCCTTGACCGAGGCCACGCACAGCGGAGCCCGCCCGCTTCTCCTCCAGCGACTCGGACTTCGACGACGAGGAGCCCCGCAAGTTCTATGTGCACATCAAGCCCGCCGCGGCCCGGGCCCCCGCCTGCAGCACCGAGGCCGCCGCCGCGCAGCTCAGGGCCACGGCCGGCAGCCTCATCCTCCCGCCCGGCCCGGGGGTGAGGCCCGGGAGAGGCGCTCCGGGCGGGGGAGGTGCTCCGGGCGGGGAAGGTGCTCCTGGCGGGGGAGGTGCTCCGGGTGGGAGAGGTGCTCCGGGCGGGGGAGCGGTGCTCCGGGCGGGGGAGGTGCTCCCAGGAGAGGTGCTCCTGGGAGAGGTGCTCCGGGCGGGAGCAGTGCTCCTGGCGGGGGAGGTGCTCCTGGCGGGAGCGGTGCTCCGGTGGGGGAGGTGCTCCGGGTGGGAGAGGTGCTCCGGGCGGGAGCGGTGCTCCGGTGGGGGAGGTGCTCCGGGCGGGAGCGGTGCTCCAGGTGGGGGAGGTGCTCCTGGTGGGAGCGGTGCTCGGGGCGGGGCCTGGGGGCCGGCAGGGGCTCCCGGCCTGACACCACCCCTCTGTCCACAGGGCACCATGAAACGCCATTCCTCACGTGAGTCGCCCGCTCTCTCTTTTTAAAAATATATTGTATTGATTTATTACAGAGAGGAGGAGAGAGGGATAGAGAGCTAGAAACATCAATGAGAGAGAAACATCGACCAGCTGCCTCCTGCACACCTCATACAGGGGATGTGCCCGCAACCAAGGTACATGCCCCTGACCGGAATCAAACCCGGGACCTTTCAGTCTGCAGACCGACGCTCTGTCCACTGAGCCAAACCGGTTTCTGTTCTTCTTTAAGTTTGTTTTTTTCATTGATTGTTTAGAGGGGGGGAGAGAGAGAAGCATCAGCGATGACAGGGAATCATTGATCGGCTGCCTCCTGCATGCCCCGTACGGGGGATGGAGCCTGTAAGCCGGGCATGTGCCCTGACCAGGAATCAGACCAAAGACCTCTGAGCCACGCCGGCCGGTGTTCAGGGGCCTTTGGTTTGGGGGGGGCGGGGAGACAGGGAGAGCCCGGAGCGCAGACTAGGCCTGAAGTGTTGGGTGGGTTCGCATCGCGCTCTGCCCGGTCACTCGGGCAGGCTGCTTACCCGCTCTGGCACTCAGTCTCCCCTCCTGCCAGATGGGGTCATTGTGAGGATTAGCTGAGACCCAAAAGGGGTTTCTGGGAAAGGAGCCAGAACCTGAGACGGCATGGCTCAGGTCCACGCCCCTCTGAGCTTTGGTGCCCCGGCTGCGGAGGAGGGCGCTGCAGGCAGGGGGCAGGCAGGCTCAGAGGGAGAGGCCCCTCTCTTGCAGGGGATGCTGCTGGGAAGCCGCAGAGGCCCCGATCGGCCCCGAGGGCCAGCAGGTGCGTCCCACGGGGTGGGGCATCACATCGGCACAGTGGGCGGGTGGGGCCACCCCATCGTGTCTCTCCATCCCCCCCTCCCCCCGGCTTCCTCCCTGTGTCTCTGTGGCCCCTTCTCTCACTCGGGCAGGGCGTTGAGGCTGTGCTGTTTTTTGAGAGACCACTCGGTGACTCAGTGGGTAAACATGTGTTGAGCGCCTACTGTGTACTCATGCCCAGTCTGGGTTCTGAGGATATCGGAGCGAGACAGGCCCTCCTTCTCAGCGTCACACCCTGGCGGCCCCGGTTTCAGGAATAATGAACAAGTTAGAGCGCAGCCACCGCTTCCGCGTGTTCTGACGAAACCAAAGCCAGCGGCTTCAGCCGGGCTGGCAGGGGAGGGCCTCTGGGGCTGCAGGGAGGACCGCCTTGAGCGGAGCCCTGAGGAGAAGCGGGAGTGGCCCCGGGGAGGCCCGGGAGGATGGAGGCCACACTGAGCAGCACGTGCAAAGGCCCTGGGGTGAGCGGAGGTGCGGGAACAGCAGAGCAGCCCCTCTTGCCCGCTCGGTCCCCAGCTGCACAGAGAAGCTGCACTCCGAGGAGCCGGGTCCCAAGAACCTCTTCGGGCCGCCCCTGGAGTCAGCCTTTGACCACGAAGATTTTACAGGTAACGGGGGTGAGGGCTCCCTCCCGGGAGCGTGGATGGGCCAGCGGGTGGGTGGCTGGAGCCATTGCAAGCGTGGTGGCTCGCTGGGCAGGAGGGCGGGTGCTGGGGTCCTTTGTGGGCCAAGGGGAAGTCCTGGGGGCGGGGCCAGTGTGAGGGGGCGGGCCCACAGCATGGCAGGGAGAGCAGAGAGAAGGGAAGCCTCTTGGGGGAGGTGGGTGCCTGTGGGAGGGGGGTGAGGCGTCAGTGGAGAGGGAAGTGACCCTCGGCATGGCCTGGGTGGGGTGGGGGCACCTGGGCGTGGGCAGGGCCTGGAGCTGGTCGCCCCGTGTCTCCCCAGGCTCCAGCAGTCTCGGCTTCACCTCCAGCCCCTCGCCGTTCTCCTCCTCGTCTCCGGAGAACGTGGAAGACTCCGGCCTGGACTCGCCGTCCCACGCAGCACCCGGCCCCTTCCCCGATTCCTGGGTCCTCCGCCCGGGCACCCCGCAGAGCCCGCCCGCCTGCCGGCCGCAGCCGCCCGAGTCCCGGGGAGCACTGACCCTGCTGCCCTCCGACTCGCCGCTGCCCCTGGCGGCGTCCCCGGGCCCCTGGGGGCTGGAGGCCGTGGCTGGAGGCGGTGAGTCCCGCAGCGGGAGCCGTGATGGCAGCTGTGGGAGGAGGGAGCACCTGCCATCTGTGCTGGGGCAGAGCTGAGGGGGAGGTGGCGGAGACCTCACCCTGGCAAGGGCAGCAACGAGATGGGTTAACGAGGCAGGAGGTGGCCGGTGAGGGCTCCCAGGGGCAGGGGCCTCTCTGAGGAGGGACAGCTGAGCTGTGACATGATGGAGGCGAGGTGTAGCCATAGGGATGAGGGGAAGGGGTTCCCAGCAGAGGGTTATAGGGGTGGGAGCGGGCTAGGCCCCTTGAGGCCCAGTGGGGAGGCTGGTGTGGCCAGAACAGAGTGATGGCAGGGAGGCGGGGAGAGGGAAGATGTCAGCAAGGAGATGGGCCCAGGCACGGGGAGGCGCCCGGGCAGGAGAGGAACGGGAGGGTCCGAGGCTGAGCGGAGGCGGGGCCGGGGGCGGAGGCTGAGCGGAGGCGGGGCTGGGGGCGGGAGGAGGAGAGCAGGCTGGAGTGGGTGCTGGCAGGTCACACGCGGAGAGTGGGGTCCCCTTGGCGTTTAGAGAAACGGCTGTGACCAGGTGAGGTCCCCAGCAGTGGTAACGGGGTGCCAGGCAGAGGCCACGGTCAAAGAAAGACCCTGATGGCAGCCGCGCCAAGGGAGGGCCTGGGGAGTGAGTGCAGACGGGCTGAGTTGTCAGAGCCGCACTGTGGAAGGGGGTTCCCGGCCAGCTGTGCGGCCCAGGGCACTCAGCACCGTCACCACCGCTGGTGACTGTCGCCGCTGGGGGACGGGGGACAGGGGTGCTGTCCAGCACCTGCAGCACAGAGGATGCCCGACCTCAGACACCTCCCGTGGTGTCCGCGAGCTGCTGAGGAGCCTGGAGGGAGAGGCACAGGCCGGGGCGGGGGCTGGGCGGGGGGGGGGGGGGGTGGCCAAGCGTTTGCAGCTGGAGCCGAGCAGGGGCTGCTGGGAGGCAGGAGAGCAAGGGGACCCTGGGTGGGACACCATGACTAATTCCCTTAGAAGGTGAGGCTCAGACGCGGGCTAGGGGAGGAGGCCCCTGCTGTCCTCTCAGAGGGTGACAGCCATGGAGTTGCTGGAAGTTAAAGGAAAACCCTCTTCCAAACCCCCCCGGGAGCGGACCTGCCTCCGGAGCGCCCGGCCCCGTGGCAGGGAGCGCCTCTCTCATTAGGCCACCATTGGGGGTCAGGGCTGTGCACGGCGTCTGCAGGCCTATCCGGCACCCCCAGGGCTTCCGGCCATCCAGGGGGCTCCCCACCATCAGTCTGGCTCCCCGGGTTTGACCGAGCCCCTCCCCTGGGGCGGCCCGGGAGGCCCGGGGCAGCCTCTCAGCCACGCCCCTCTCACGCTCGCTCCCAGACCCGGTGCCCGGACCTGCGGACCTCCCGGCCACGGAGGGCCTGGCGGCCCCGCCCCGGCGGCCCCGCTCCCGGAAGGTGTCCTGCCCCCTCGTGAGCAGCAACGGGGACCTGGTAGGCCGAGGGGGCGTGGCCAGCGCCGGGCGGGGGCGCCGCCCGGGTCAGCATCGGGACACGCTCCAGGCGCGCCCACAGCCCAGCCTGTCTCCTTCCTTCCAGTCCCATCCTCTGAGCTCCTCCCCGCTGGGCTGCTCCGTCCCCGGCGCCGCCCCAGAGCGCTCCAGCGTCTCCGCCCAGACCCAGACGGGACACGGTAGGTACCGTGGGCTTCCCCTGCTCGGCCTGGAGGGGGGCGGGGGCTGCGATCCCGCAGAGACCCTGTTGGCAGAGGGCAGGTTCTGGAGCCTGAGCCTGTCTGTCCTCACGCTCTCTGTCTGCCCTTCATTCTCCCCGCAACCCCCAGGAATCTCCCGGGGCCCCAGCCCTGTGGTCCTGGGCTCCCAGGATGCCCTGCCCGTGGCCACCGTCTTCACCGAGTATGTCCATGCCTACTTCCGCGGCCACAGCCCCAGGTATGCCGTGCCGGGGAGCGTGTGGACAGTGAGGGGCAGACAGGGCTCCCGGGGGCTGTGTGTCTGGGTTCTAGCCCGTGTGGCTCAGTGGATAGAGCGCCAGGTGTGTTTCGGGATCCGCTTTACCACGGAGGGGCCTTACCCACGGTGGTGAGCCGCCAGGCCCCTCCTTAAGGGCAGTGGGAGCGGCGGAGGGGGTTGGATCAGGGCGAGGCAGTATTGCTGCCGCTGTGCAGGGGACCTCCTCTGAGCTGCTGTGGGACCCAGCCTGAGGGAGGATCCCCCGAGGCCAGGCCTGGGGAGGAGGTGGGTACAGGGTGGATTGAGGGACCAGGGATCGTCGGAAAGCGGGGGTGGGGAGGTGCCCAGAAGAAAAGAACCAGAGAGGAAGACAGCATTAGACCCAAAACCCACATGCAGACAATTATAAAACGGGGTTTCTGCTGTGAGCTTCCTGGTGGCCTGGGGGAAAAGGGAATGAGGGAGAGGTGTTCCCGCCTCCTCAAACCCATGTGCCTGCTTCCTGGAGCCTGGGTTGTTGCTGTGCAGACAGGGACACACGGGAGGAGGTCGGGGGTAAGGATGCTGGGTGTGCTCGGGGCCTGGCTGCCTCTGCAGACCCAGGGAGCCAGCCCCGGAGAGAGGGGAGGCGGAGGGGCCGGCAGAGCTGGAGCCAACGCCCCGTCCCTTCACCTCTCACCCAGCTGCCTGGCGCGAGTGACTGGGGAGCTGACCATGACCTTCCCGGCTGGCATTGTGCGGGTGTTCAGCGGGACCCCGCCCCCGCCCGTCCTCAGCTTCCGCCTCGTGCACACAGCCCCCATCGAGCACTTCCAGCCCAACGCCGACCTGCTCTTCAGGTGCGGCTGGGAGGGGGGGCAGGAACAGGGGCCCCGGAGGCCAGGGGCCAGGAGCGCCCCAGCCGCAAACCCCTCCTCTGCCCCCAGGATCTGCTGTGTGTCCCTGGGCAAGTCCCCCCCTCTCTCTGGACCTCATTTTCCTGCCTCCTCCCCACCCCACTCCCACCCTCTCACCCCCACCCCCTCACCTCCACCCCCACACCCCACTTTGCTGGGCCAAGGTGACCTGGGAAATCAGCACCCTTAGGAAGCCCCTGGGGTGATGGGGAGCTGGGAACCCTGAGAAGGCTTCCTCCGAGGGTGGGCGTGATTGTCCCCGGTCTCTGCAGTGACCCCTCCCAGAGCGACCCTGAGACCAAAGACTTCTGGCTCAACATGGCGGCCCTGACCGAGGCCCTGCAGCGCCAGGCGGAGCAGAACCCAGCCGCCTCCTACTACAACCTGGTGCTGCTGCGGTACCAGGTGGGCTGGGTGGACAGGGCGGGGCGGGCAGGGGGGAGGGCGGGGACGGGGATCCGGAGGGGGTTGGGAGGGCCGAGGGAGCAGGAGGGGGGATGGTGGGAGCATAGGGAGGGCAGAGGGTACATGGTGGCCAGATGGGCACTGTAGGGAGCCAGCCCCCACAGCGCATTCGGTATCATTCTGCGAATTAGAAGTGCCCTCCCCAGGCCCCTGCTCCAGACTTCATTAGAATGAGGCCCTCTCCCGCCCTCTGCTGGACGTGTGGTGTAATGCAGACTCCTATCTGCGAAGTCTCCAGCAAAGGGTCTCTCTCCGGGTGGTGTGTGCAATCCGGACCGAAGCTGGTGGTAGTGCCCAGGTTGATGGGACAGGATGGCCCACGCTCGGTCCTCTCTCTCTTCCTAGTTCTCCCGCCCGGGCCCCCAGTCGGTGCCTCTGCAGCTGAGCGCCCACTGGCGGTGTGAGGCGACCCTCACTCAGGTCTCGGTGGAGTACAGCTACCGGCCCGGCGCCACGGCTGTGCCCACGCCGCTCACCAACGTCCAGATCCTGCTGCCTGTGGGGGAGCCCGTGACCAATGTCTGCCTGCAGCCAGCGGCCACGTGGTGAGGGCGTGTGGAAGGCCGAGGGAGGCTCAGCAGTGCCCCTAAACCCCCCAACTTTCCCCTTGAGGAAGCAACTAAAGGACCCAGACTGGATCTGACTGTACGCTGACCAGTCAGTACGCTGACCAATCAGGTCCAGGGTGGACCCTTTAGTTGCTTCATCATCCCTATTTATGGGTGGGGAAACTCAGAGCTGGGCTGGTGGAAGGAATGAGGAGGAGAGGAACACAGACTAGAAGGGGGGGGGGGTGTCAGAAAGACTTCCTAAGGAGGAGGTATTCTAAATAGGGCTTTGAGGTATGAGTAGGAGTTTGCAAGATGGGGGTGGACACCCCAGGCAGAGAGACACAGGGTTGTGAGTTCCATGTGAGTTCCAGAGTTGTGAGCTCGAATCGCCTACAGCGGGGGTGCTGTTATCAAACAGGGATGATACCTGACAGGAGAGCTTCCTCCATGTCAGGCGTGTTCCGTGGCCGCAGCATGCACCAGTTGGCTTAAGGCTCTTAGCAATCCCTCTGGGTGTAGCCTGCCGTCATCCCTATTTATGGATGGGGAACCTGAGGCAAAGGGAGGCTATGTTGCTTATCTAAGATCACACCAGGATTTGAATCCAGCTCCCATGCTGCCTTGGTGTTGTATAAAGTATAGAACCCGTCACGAAGAAGCCAGACTTACGGGACCAAATGCATCCTCTAAAAATGCTGCAAGGCTGTGGGGACCTCGGGACCAGCTGCTCCACACCCCACCCCTGCCTCACAGATGGGGAAGTGGAGGCAGGGGCGGGGACCTGGCTCGCTCCCATCACATCGCTGAGAAGCTGAGCTGGGACCCTGGGGCTGACCTGACCGAGCTTCTCTTGACGCCAGGAACTTGGAGGAGAAGCGGTTCCTATGGAAGCTTCCAGATGTGTCCGAGGCAGGGGGTGAGTAGTGGTTGTGCATCAGGACTCGGGGGTCTCAGGTGGGAGGACTTATTTAAACTGGGGGAGAATCAGGGATGTGCTTGGGGTAGGCCAGGCTGGGAGGGCTTTGACAGAGCTGAAGGAGAGGCATCCTGGGAGTGGCCACAGCAGGTGCAAAGGCCCTGAGGCAGGACCACTTTACAAACCACACACACACAGTCTTGTAGAGCCAGAGAAAGTGGGTGCAGCCCTAACGGGTTTGGCTCAGTGGATAGAGCGTTGGCCTGCAGACTAAAGAGTCCCAGGTTCAATTCTGGTCAAGGGCATGTACCTTGATTGCGGGCACATCCCCAGTAGGGAGTGTGCAGGAGGCAGCTAACCTCATTGATGTTTCTAACTCTCCCTTCCTCTCTGTAAAATAAATCAATAAAGTGCATTTATTTTTTTTAAGTGGGTGCAGGGGCCCAAGAGGAGGTCGGAGAGTAGAGACCACAAATCAAAGCAGGGCGAAGGCAGGGTCTGGGGGGCCGGGGGCCAGGGATGGGACCCAGCTGACCTCAGGCCTCCCCAGGCTCTGGCCGCCTGTCTGCCAGCTGGGAGCCCTGCTCAGGACCCAGCATGCCCAGCCCCGTGGCTGCTCAGTTCACCAGCGAAGGGGCCACTCTGTCCGGCGTGGACCTGGAGCTGGTGGGCAGTGGCTACCGCATGTCGCTGGTGAAGAGAAGGTTCGCCACAGGTACGTACCGCCCCCACCGCCCCCGCCTTCCTGGGAGCCAGGCCTCGCTGTGGCCGGGATGCAGGGGTGGGGGGCATTGTAGGTTATTTGGGAAGGACGGGTGGGTGTCAGGTCTGGAGACCCAGTGTGGGGCGGTCACAGACAGGGCGGGGTGGCCAGGGCCCAGTGGGAGGGATCAAGAAGGAAGATGGATGTGTCTGAGCCTTCCCCTGGAGGGGGGAGGGGGGTCTTGCAAGGATCCAAGGCTCGCAGCCAGAAACACCACTGCACCAGCACCCTCGCCCTGTTCTCCTGCCCCCACTGGGGGCTGCTGGGGTCCGTGGGGCAGTGAGTTAAGGGGTATTTTGAGAAGGCTTCTACCATTCACGGTCCCACCCCCACAGGGATGTACCTGGTGAGCGGCTGAGCCCGGGAGGCTGAGTGGCCCACGGGCCCCAGCTCTGCGGAGTCCTGGTGCTTGGTGACTGCTCCCCGCCTGCCTGCCGGATCCTGGGGTCCCGACCCGGCCTCCTCCGAGGCCCTGACTCCGGGAAGAGGAGCCCCACGCCCAGCCTGGCGGAGCCCGAGAGTCACGTCTGCTCATACCAGCTCCCACACAGGTCCTCGGACTTTTAGTGTTCTTTTGAATAAACACTTTATTTTCTAATGAAATAACTTACCCGCTCCTGGGAGTTTCCTTTCCATCGCCAGGGAGGAGAGGGAGAGAAGACGGATGCGTGGGGGAGATCTAACACCACTAACGCTCCCCATCACCCACCCGCCCACTTGCTCCCTCTGTGTTGAGTGATCCTAGGGCAGGAAAAGCCAACCATGGACACCCCAGCCCCACGGACACCTCCAGTTCCACGGGCTCAGAGCTGGGCTGGTGGAAGGAATGAGGACGAGAGGAACACAGACTGGAATATCCCCCTCCTTAGGAAGTCTCTGTGTCAGGAAGACTTCCTAAGGAGAGGGATATTCTAAATAGGGCTTTGACGTATGAGTAGGAGTTTGCAAGATGGGGATGGACACCCCAGGCAGAGAGACACAGACTTGTGAGTTCCATGAAGAAACAATTAGTTAGTCTATGGATATCAACTGAGTACCTACTGTGTGTCAGGCAGTAAGGACCCAACAGTCAGTGTGCAGGAGAAAGCTCCTGTCCCCCAGCTCATGCAGCTGTGAGCCTAGGTTTAGAGCGACCTGCCTAGGCCTCAGTGTCCTCATCTGGGTGGCTGAGGGGAGGTCGCACACTGTTTCAAGACGCTGGCGCAGCGGGAGCACCCGGCAGCGCCAGCAGGTGGGCAAGGAGCAGCCTGATGGGGCCAGGCCAGGCACCGTCACCCGCACACTTTGGTGGGGAGCAGATCTGAGCTCAGGATGGACACGGGAGGACCCCGAGTGCCTGACATTGAGATCCCAGGGACCACGCCGGGCCAGGGGGAGCTCAGGAAGCAGGAAGTGGGGTTTGGCCTGTGGTCTCTGCTCCTCCCACCCCGTCTTCCAAAGAGAGGAGGGTTGGCTGTGCCTCAGCTTCATCTGGGAAGAGGCGGAAATCCTCCAGTTGGGAGCAATGTGTGTGCTCTCATTGCCTCCGTCCCTACAAAAGGGTGTCTCTGCTGGTGCTCTGTGGCTGAGGGGCCGGAGTGTCATCTCCAGGCCGCAGCCCCCTGCGTGAGGGGACCCTGTTCATCATCGCCCCCTGGTGGCTGCAATTACTTCCTTTGGGTCACAAATGAGGTTAGGTCCCTTTGGAAACATAAGGCAGCCCTGTGTTTTGGCTCAGTGGTTACAGCGTTGGCCTGCAGTCTTTGCACACACACACACACACACACACGTGCACAAACGTGTGTGCAAAGACTTGGGATGGAGGGGAAACACCCATAGGATCAGATGTTTGACTCTGGCTTCTTTTTCTTTAATATATAAAAAATACTCGTGGCCCAGTGCACGAAATTCGTACACATTAAGAGGGGATTAATTAGAGGAAATAATTTAATATTGCTATTTGCTCTTTCTCTATAATAGAAGTGTCAGAGATGAAAGAAAATTAGTAACATGGATATGAAAACCTTCCTCCTGTCAGAGTCTGGGACGCACCACGGGACTCAGAGTCAAGTCCCCGCCCACCACATGCACCTCAAAATTGTGTGAAACCCAGACCAGGCCAGCCCCTGCCCCCATTGGGCTAGATCCAGACCCAGCTGGTCCCACCCTTGTCAAGCCCCGCCAGGCAGGGGGTGTAGCCTCAGGTAACCCTGGCCCAGCCCCAGGATGGGGGTCATGGCCTGAGGTCCTCCAGCCCAGACCGGGGGGGGGGGGGGCCTTGAAGTCCTCTTCAAGCCCCACTGGCAGGGGGGAGCAGCCCGAGGTCCCCTAGTCCAGCACCAGGACAGGAAGAGCACCTTGAGGTCCCCTGTCAAGCCCCACGGGGGCAGGGGAGGGTGTAGCCTCAGGTCCCTGCTGATTGCTCGATAAGGCTCCTTATGGGAACTTGGCCTCAGCTGTGGGTGCAGCCAGCTTTGTGATGGAGTGATGGTCAATTAGCATATGCCCTCTTTATTATATAGGAAGATATTTTATTGATTTTAGAGAGGAAGGGAGAGGGCGAGAGAGAGAAACACCAATGATGAGAGAGAATTACTGATCAGCTGCCTCCTGCACACCCCCTACTGGGAATCGAGCCCACAACCTGGGCATGTGCCCTTGCCTGGAATCGAACCTGGGACCCCTCAGTCGGCAGGCTAACACTCTATCCACGAGCCAAACCAGTTAGGGCATGACTCTGGCTCCTTGATGGGGGCTCAGGTCTTGAAATGGGGAGAGGCCACCTCCACTGGCTCCAAAGTCCTGTTCTAGGGTCACAGGTTCAATTCCAGTCAAGGGCACCTACCTGGGTTGCAGGCTCTGTTGAGGCACGTGAGGAAGGCAACCAGTCTGTGTGAGACATCAATGTTTCTCTGTGTCTCTCCCCCTCCTTTCCATTCTCCCTAAAAAATAAAAAATAAAAATAAATTAGATATATATCTCAATGGAAGAAATGTCCTCTGGTGAGAATCAGCAACAACATCAACAAAAAGAAATTTATCCCAGTCGGCATGGCTCCGTGGTTGAGCATTGACCATGAACCAGGAGGTCATGGATCTGTTCTGATCAGGGCACAGGCCTGGGCTGCGGACTCCATCTCCTGTGTGGGGCGTGCAGGAGGCAGCTGATCAATGATTCTTTCATCATTGATGTTTCTACCTCTCTCCCTTCCTCTCTGAAATCAATAAAAATAAAATAAATAAATCAGAAGGCATTTCCCAAGTGTGGCCTTTCAACTGCCTGGCCACCCAGAGCTGGTGTGCCAGGTGCCAGGAAGGAGGGTGGGACGCCAGTTTAACGGGCCAGCCCAGGGCGGGTAAGTTGGCGCTTATGATACCCCCGTGTCTCCTGCTGGGAAGCCCAACACCTCTGGGGGGGGGGGAGAGGGTTAGGGGGGAACAAGTGGCTAGGCCACTTGCCAGAGGCCACCCCAGATGGTGAGTGGCCTAGGTGGGGCTTTTTTTTTTTTTTTAATTAGGGTGAAATTCACATAATAAAATTAACCATTTACAGTGAACGATTCAGTAGCATTTAGCACATTCACTACGTTTGGCAACCACCACCTTGATAAAGACTAACTAGAACTTTTTTTTTTTAATTGATGTCAGAGAGGAAGGGCGAGGAGGAGAGAGAGGGTAAACTGTACGGTTCTAACTCCCCCTTCTCTTAACTTCCCTTCCCTCGTACCTGCGCTCCTCCATCCTGGCTGCCACACCTGCGTGCACTTGGCAGCCCTTTCTTTTTTCCGAATGAATTCTTTGGTGACAAGACAACTGGTCGATATTATTTTTTTCTGTAGACAACCTCTAGTTCCAGAACATTCCATGACCCTCAAAGAAGACCCCGATGCCCTAGCTGGTTTGGCTCAGTGAATAGAGCGTTGGCCTGCGGACTGAAGGGTTCCAGGTTTGATTCTGGTCAAGGGCATGTACCTTGGTTGTGGGCACGTCCCCAGTTGGGGGTGTGCAGGAGGCTACTGGTCAATCTTTCTCTCTCACTGATGTTTCTAACTATCCCTCTCCCTTCCTCTCTGTGAAAAAAAAAAAAAAAATCAATAGAATATATGTTTTTTTAAAAAAGAAGAAGCCGAGACCGGTTTGGCTCAATGGATAGAGCGTCGGCTTGGGGACTAAAGGGACCCGTGTTCGATTCCGGTCAAGGGCATGTACCTTGGTTGCGGGCGTATTCCCAGTAGGGGGTGTGCAAGAGGCAGCTGTTCCATGACTCTCTCTCATCAATATTTCTAGCTATCTCTCTCCCTTCCTCTCTATACAAAATCAATAAAATATATTTTTTTAAAAGAAGAAGAAGAAGAAGAAGAAGCAGCAGCAGCCAAGCCCAGGAGCAGTCACTCCCTATTGACCCCCCAACCCCCATCCCTGGCACCCACTCATCTGGCGTTCTGTCTCCATGGCGTTGCCCATCCTGGGCATTTCATACGAGTGAGTCATGCATGTGGCCTTCAGTGTCTGGCTTCCCTACCTCAGCATGTTTTTGAGGTTCGTCCGCACGGGAGCCGGTGTCCCTGCTTCAGTCCTGAGGGCTGAGCCACAGCCACGGTGTGTGCGCGCTGCGTTTTGTCCATCCCTCGCAGCTGATGGCCTTGGGTGTGTTTTCACCTTTTGGTGACCATGACTAGCGCTGCGGTGAACAGGCGTGTGCAACGGTTGGGTGAACACCTATTTTGGGTGGCTACCCAGGGGCATAACCGCCGATAACACAATCAGTGCGATAAGGACAGTCCAGATTGGAAGCGGGGCCCTCCGGTGTCAGACGCTGCCCCGGATCTTTGGAGCAATCGGAGGGAGGGAAGGGGGGGCTAGGGGGTTGGGACGGAGGACAGGGGGGGTGTCTCTTTTCCTCCCTCCCCGGCAGGGCCAGCCTCCGTTTCCGGGGGCGGCAGGGCTGGTTGTGTGCAGAACGCACTTCCTCCACCCGGGTCGCGGCATCAGATCGTGGACCCAGATCTCCCCACCTCAACGCGTGGAGATTAGAAACCTGCAGAGACTCAGACAGACACAGCAGCCGGTTGGGGTGACGGGGTGCCCCAACCCCAAGAAGCTTCCAATCGGGCTTGCAACTTCCGTTATCTTTCTGAATGCTGTCTTGGGTGGGAGAAGGGGGATCTCCGTTTTTAGCGGCCACAACTTTCCAACCGCTTCCCGAGACCTGGGGAACCCTGGGTTCCCGCCGCCTCCTGCCCCCTTTTCAGCCCTGTCTTTGCGGAGCACCCGCCGGACCAGCGCCGGGCGCCGCGGAGGCGCGGCTTGCACACCGCGCGGCGGGAGCTCCCCACCTGCTGCGGGCGGGGCCCGGCCGGCCCGGGCGGCGGGGAGGCCGGGAGGGAAGGGCGGGGCCGGGCAGGGAAGAAGGAAGGGCGGCGGGGCCATCTCAACTGCGGCCACCAGGAAGCTCGGCCCAGCTGGGGGCCAGGGGCGGGGCGGGGAGGGATGTGCGGCGGGAGGCCGGCCCGGAGGGAGGGGGCGGGAGGAGCGAGGCCCGGAGCGCACGCCCAGGTGGAACTCTTCCTCTCGGGCAGCGGAGAGGAGCGGAGGGAGAGGAGCGGACAGCACCGGGCTCGGAGGCTG